TAGGCGTCTGACCCCCTCCCCGGACGTAATGCGCCGTCGCCTTTTCCCGAGCCCTCTGGGGGGTCCCGGGATGGGCGAGGTGTGTGCTGGCCCATTACGGGGCGGAGGGGCTACCCCCCTCCTGCCGGGAGGGTAGCCCTCCACACTTTAGTCCGCACCAACTCTGCACGTGGTCAGTGTTTGAGTGTGGGGCATGGGCACTTGCACTCTCCCTGTGATCCTTAGGGTCTCAGGGAGGTAGGTGCACAGTGAGCCCATACAGGGCTGGGGGTTCTCCCCATCTGCCTATGGGCGGAGGGGGGCGGGGTCCCCAGCACTGTTTTTGGAGCACACTTTCTGCGAGGTAAGTGCAGCAGAGTGTGCTCTGTCAGCCGCAGCCCAGACTCTCCACGGTCACAACCGGGTAAAAGGAGAAGGTGGGGCAGCAGCTGCTGACCAGAAAAGCCGGTCAGGGGCAGTAGGGTGGAATGATGTTGTTGGACGACAGTGCACGTATACATCAGGGCTCCACCCACTGTACCCATAGAGTCCAGTAGAGGGCGGAGCCTGTGAGAGATATATCGCTGGGTTACGTATTGTAACCCATGTTATATTAGCACAGGCGGAGCCCTCTACTCAGGGCACTGTCTGTCCTATACCGCTCGCTGAAGAGAGGTGTAGGATGATAGTCAGGAGGCGAGGCCTCCTTTTATACGGTGAGATGCACGTGCATTCAGGTAGGCCCGCCCCAAGGCCGGCCATGTCTATAGAAGTCTGAGTGGGAGAATGCCCGCAGGATAAGGTAGTACCCATAGAGTCCAGTAGAGGGCTCCGCCTGTGTTAATATAACAAGAGTTACAATACGTAACCCGGCGTTTCATCTGTAATAAATCAACTCTCTTTCCAGAACAAAATCTCTGAAACTTTGAGTAATCTTAAAAAGTTACTGTGGACTGCTTTTATACTTCACTAATTTGAGTTCTCTTTGTTTTTAAAACGTAGGTAAACATTCATTTTACAGATTAACCCAACTCTCACCTCTTCGGCCACAGACAGCAGTTCAGTTGGCGGTTCATCAGAAACCTTACAAGCACAGTGAGTCCATTTCTTCACATCTGAAAGGAAATTGTTGACACACGACAGCAGCATGTTCAAAATAATGTATTATTAGTCGTAAATGTTTCTTTGTGTATTGCAATAATATCAGACAAATACAAGTAGCATTAGTAAACTGAACTAGATAGATGGAGTTGAAATCCAAAGGTTTGAAGAATGTGTTCAGTCTCAACTCCATCATTGTTGCCCTGTTGGTCTCCACAGTCCTCACTCAGGCCTTTATCTGCGTTGCTTTCTTCAGAGGCAGAGTCTTTCTTGATCAGATACATCACCAAAATCGTCTCCAGAAGGCTGATCAACATCAAACAGAACATACCAATGCTGAAGACCACTGAAGAGAAAAGGGAACGCCATTAAAGTGACACCAATGACAAGAAACTCAATCAGTTCATGTGTGGTTTCTGCTCAAAGGAAAGGACAGTCCAGTTAAATAGTGAGCTGCTTTACCTATAAGCGGTATCGTGTCTGAAGAGGAAGGCAGAACGTCGTTGAGAATCAGCTGCATCACAGTGACAGCGAGCAGCAGAGTGATCTCGAAGCTGACCCTCTCGCACCCTTGGTCTGGCATCAGGAAGGAGGCCAAGTCCAGACAGAATAAGAACATGATGGGCACTAAGAAGTTGGCGATGAAGATGGGATAACGCCTATTCATCCTGATCTGTGATCCAAGATGGAAAAACAGTGAATCTGTTCACTAATGCTGCAATGATCAAAAACACTATTGATTATGGGTTTAAGTTATTTTGCATGTAATATGAAAGAAATCGCTCGACTGAAATATGAAGTTTCCTGTTTATATAATTCATTTCTATTTTATATTTGGTCACAGTGGTTAAGGATGATTAAGTGGCCACCATCAATGTTTCCAAGGAACAACAATGTCAATGGGTTTGCTCTCTTTCATTCTGCTGTTAAGAATACAAGCTAAATAAAACCAGCAAGTGGAGCTGCACACATTTTCATGAACTTCTTTTCATAAATAAATCAAAGTAAAATGTACAACACACTTACAGAATAAATTAGAACGCTTTGCTTTTGATCACACTCTGGGACAGGTCGGTTGGTGACTCCAGGGGTTAAGAACTTCCACTTGATCTGGTCCCTTAGTGTTGTTTCACTCCATTTCCGTTCACCGTCAGTTAAGACTTCAATCTTCAACTCCTCCTCTAAGGTGAACGTGAAGATACAAGTTTGAGATGTCTTATCAGGTCAGGATAAATGCATGTGCTGGTGTGTGCTCATGTGAAAATTAGCCTTTAAAGCAGGGGTGGGGAACCTTTTTCCTCTCAAGGGCCATTTCAATTTTTTCAACATCCTCCGAGGGCCGTACGAATGATTGACCTCTGCTTAAAAATACTAAAATCACAGCCCATTCATTTCGCCTGTCTTTCATTCTGTGCAAAGAAAAAGTAACCTCTTAATCCAGATATCTCACCATGACTCGCGCATGCATTCACGTGCACGGTTGTGGCATGACCACCAAAACAGAAAAGATATTGGACACAAGATATGTGCAAATGTATTTAGTTTGTGGACATGATTTAAATGTGGGGGGGGGTACCTAACCTCCTCTAGGGGGGTCCGGGGGGCATGCTCCCGGCAAAAAAATCTTTTTTAAATGTTGAAGTTAAAAGCATCAATCTGGTGCACTTTGAGAGCAACATTAGGAGATATATGGATACATCTCTCAACACCCATATGAAACAGAACTGTAAGCATATTTACTTTTTCTTTATGGATATTTTACAAATCACTCCCGTTTCAAACTGTAGGCCTATTCTTGTTTATTAATAACAACTGTTTTTTACTGTCATATAGTATTTTATACCCGTTTACTTTATTCTCTTATTTTTTTATAACTATAATGATCATATACAGATGTGCCTTTACCTCACTGGTTGGAGAAAAAGCTTCTTATATTCGTTAGCATAGCTAGCTAACCAGATGCTAATAACAACAAAGTTGTTGACTGTATGACAGATGAACAGATCGCCACTGGGCTTACAACTAAAGACACGCAAAAACTGCAGCACGTGCCGCTCCTTGGGTACTGCTTGGAAGTGCTGGAGTGGCGTTCTGGTGCTCTCCGTCAGAATTGCACCCCTGTCAGACGAGACATATACCACGTGATGACACGTTAGGCTCGTGTTGTGTTCAAGGACCCTGACCTTGGCCAGGAAAAACAGGCACTCGCTTTGTTTAATTTGTTTGCGGTCTAGATTTCTTTAATTTTTTTCTTTTCGGCGTGTGTTTATAAATTACCTCGATGGCCGTACCAAATGGTCTCGCGGGCCGTATACGGCCCGGGGGCCGGAGGTTCCCCACCCCTGCTTTAAAGAGATAATTACCACAAACGTGCAATCTAACACACAACATACTGTTAGAAATTAAAATCAATGTTTTATGGCATGACTTGGTTTGGACGTACCGTCAGCCCTTCCTTCTTGGCTGCAGCCACACCGAGGCGACTGTCTCTTCATTACCTTCTGCTTGTTCTACCATGTTACTTAATTAAAGTACCCATTTGAACCTTCGCAGAGACTCCATTGGTCTCCTTATTTTAAGTTTCTCTCCTGGTAGCGAGAGGAGCATCATAGTTTTCTTCAATACATATTTTAGATAAATGTCTAGAAACTTCTGAAAGCTCACCTGGGTAAACCATAGACTTGAGAGACAAGTTGCAGTGCTGAACATCAAAAGGAAATCTGCGAACTTCCATCCTGCACGTGCTGACCACCATAAGTTCCCTCACATGTTCAACGGTACCGTTCGAGTGAAGGGTGATAAAGGGATTTGGAACAGCCTTGTTCTTCTCTATCCTGTATGACAACAGACATACATGTGTACAAATGACAGCAAACACTTCAAACTGATTTTCACATTGTGTAATACTTTAAAACAACATTTATCTCAATTATGATACTATTGCTTAAGTCTGTATTTTCCTCAAGTGTACCCTCATTACTTTAAGTATAGAAATACTATCCACACAGTATAACAATATCACACATCTCTATATGATTGTCCCGGCTCAAGTCAGGTCAGGGCTATCTGCTTCATTGTTTATTGCTTTCTAACCACAGCTGCTTTCCACACAATACATAGGTGTACAAATATAATTATACAAAAACAATACGTTTATGGTTGCATCATCTTTTTACATCCATCTGATTTATTGTGCATGTCCTTCTTAATAACAACACGCTCCATCCCCAGTTGCTCTTGTGAGTGTGTGGATTTGTGAGTATGCACAAACATTCCAACTTACATCTCTTTAATCATTAGATCTGGCTTCCACAACAAATCAGCAGAAACTCTCATCTTATCAAGGCCACCAAAGTGATCTGGGTCCCAATGAAGATGCGGATCTTCCCATTTCTAAACAGGAAACAAGAAAGAAGGGAAGAGAACATATATAAATAAAGACTTTAAGATGCAATCTGCAGCAACTCCTTTCAGCCTACAGTATAATAACCAGAATAGGAAAATCACAAATTGGTTCTCAAAACAAACTCACCATATAAATCCGAATGACAGAAACGAAAGTCTGGTCCATCTCACTCTGTAAGCGAAGAAATGGTGTGAACGTCTGTACCACATGAAGGTAGCGGACCTTACGTAGGAGAAACTGTCATCAAACATTGCACTTTGAAGTTAGCATGCTGACTACCTTCAGCAAGCTGTAAAGAAGTGAAAGCTCCTTTGGTCACACTAAGCAAAGCCCCAACGATGTTTCTTCAAAGATTCAAGGTAGCATCGGGGGAGAAATTGATTAAAGGTATTATTTTTGGGCTGACATCATTTTTGTGGACACTTTGTCGAACTATTCTGACTTGCTTCCTTCAATAGTGCTAGTATGGCTGTTTCCTAGAGATACTATGTACAAGTACTGATCCGGTACAAACCGTACTTTGACGCTCTCCCTTCAGAGATCATCCCCATGTGACGCCTTTGAAAGGGCCCTCGAGTCCCACCTGTTGGCCAAGGCTTCGGCCCCTCATTGATTTGTTGATTTGTTTGTCTGACTGTTTGTCTGACTGTCTTTTTTTGTTTGTTTTACTCTTGTTTTTCTGTAAAGCGACCTTTGGTCCCATGAATGGCGCTATATAAATGTAAGTTATTATTATTATTATTATTATTATCAGTTGGAAGAAGTGCATGCTATATTGAAATGTATGCTGAGCTGTTTTTTGAGAGAGTCTTTGTTTCTTATTGAACTAACTTCCTATATTTTGATTTGACTTTACTGATTGCTTTTTTGGCTTTCATGTGTATTACCATCATGTGTTCGTACGGTTCCATTGTTTTATCTTTGGCTGCTTTCCACAGTAAAGAAATTATGATTATTCTAAAAAAAAAAATAAAAATCAAAGTTGCACTTACCATGTCTAGAATTGACTCCATTGAGAAAGCGACATAGACCAGTGTTGGTTTGTTGAAGTCTTTGACAGGTCGGACCGTTGAGTGCAGCTCCTTGTTTTTGGTCAGGTTCAGGTAGATTGAAACATCTTGATAGGTGAACTTTGTTTCTATTGGGAGGACATCAAGACAATATCTCTGTCAGAGAGTTACTTATTCTTAACTACAAGGAAATGCAGACTTCATTTGTTCATTCATAGATCTCCCTCTCTCTCTCTCCCTCTCTCTCCCTCTCTCTCTCTCTCTCCCTCTCTCTCTCTCTCTCTCTCTCTCTCTCTCTCTCTCTCTCTCTCTCTCTCTCTCTCTCTCTCTCTCTCCCTCTCTCTCCCTCTCTCTCTCTCTCTCTCTCTCTCCCTCTCTCTCTCTCTCTCTCTCTCTCTCTCTCTCTCTCTCTCTCCCTCTCTCTCTCCCTCTCTCTCTGTCTCTCTCTCTCTCCCTCTCTCTCTCCCTCTCTCCCTCTCCCTCTCTCTCTC